TTATATAAATTAGTTTAATGTAACACGATGGGCCCCAACTGGTTGGTTGGTTGGTTGGTAGGCAAGCAAGCCAATGCTTAGAAGGACGAAAAGAAAGGGTGAAACGGTGGTTTAAAAACAGGGTTGCGGGGTAAGGGAATCGAAGCTTAAAAACGGGGCAAGGAGCGAGTAAAAAAAAAAACCGGTATTTTTGCGTCGAGCACCAAGGGGTGCATTTCGTTGCGATTATAAAAGGCAGGGCAACCCCCGGTGTGTCTAGACGACGTGGCCTCCTATCAAAAACAGACCACCGAATTGAAAAGCCCGAAAGGGCAAGGAACTCGTCACAATGCCAAGAAATTAAAGTTTCTCTATATATCCACCTATACTCGTTCTTCGAGCACTCGTTCCTTTTTTTCTCTCTCTCTCTCTCTCTCTTTCCATTTCTACTACTACTACTTCTTCTTCTTCTTCTTCTTCTTCTAACTCGTCCACGCTGTAACTCTAGTTCTCTCTCGATGTTAAAACTCGACGTTGTTGTGCGAGGGGTAAGAAATAAAAAGAAGAGATTACCTCGTACTTCTGCTTTCGAAAAATGTTCTCAAGGGTCTTTACGGATCAAAAGAATGTCAGACATTTTTTATGATAATCGTTCGATCAAAATGTTACATCCTACGAATTCTACAGTTTCACAACGCAAATCTGAAATACTCGAAAAACTGACCCCCGGTCCTAACTGTAGCCAATCCCTGAATAATTTACATAATCGCACCTGATTACCAGGATTCCCATATGCATTCTCGTTGTCCCAAGTCATTGATGTTGTGGTAGATCCTTAAAAAATCCCATAAACGTTTCTTAATAACTCGTTTCATCGAATTGCCAATTTTAGCGTGTCCCAAACGCGATTCTCGTACTTTGATCGAAATGCCACGTTTTACGGAGTACATAATCTTTTATGAATCTTCAGAACACAAAGGTTGAATGCAGACTACCGATGGATTATTAAAGTCTAGACTAATTTTAAATAAATCGTTTGTTCTCGTCAAAAGATGACGAGTTATACTCGGAATCCACGATGATTCGTTTCGAATAAACGAATCATTCATTGACGTTTTTAACGGAAGTATGAATCAGAAAAGAGTCACCTGCACAACTTAGAAATAAATCATAGCGTGTTTTACTGAACTTTGAAATTATTCGAAAGACGGACTTAGAACGGACTTGAATAACCAATAATTTGCGAGGTCAATTTCTTGGAAGGATCAAGGAGAGAATGAATTCACCCAAAAAAAAAAAAAAAAACATTCTACACCATTCATCTCAATTCATTAATACGAAACTAATTTACCTTGAAACATTCTCTGAAAGACCAAATCTACTATATTCGTTATTTTAACATTGACGAGAAGATAAAAAGAAATCGAGAGAGAGAGAGAGAGAGAGAGAGAGAGAGATAGTTCGATGACGTCAATAATATTTGTTGTTGTGGTATTGCATACTATTCAAAATAAAATTATTTTAAGATCATTTCGTTTTTTTTTCTATCTATTAAGCGCGTTTATTAGAAATGAAACTCTGATAAAAGACTTTTGAAATGTTAGATAAAGTTTCATCTATGAATACGTTTATTAATACTTTGAAAGTTAAAAAAAAAAAAAAAAAAGAGAAAAATATCAAAGAATTCATCCAACCCACGTAAAATGTGGGATTTTATCAGAGGGTCCACACACAGTTTGATAAGAACGTCAGCGATCCTAGGGTGATACGTCAAACTCGAAAATGGACTAATTTACTATTATAAAAATCGATTAGAAGAAAATGATTAAATAAGAATTGATTGAGAAAATCTGTAATATCGTAACAGTCAATAAAATGCAATGTTCTTGACGATAATTACGTTTCTTTGTAATGTGTAAGCTTTAAGAGTCATTGAATCATTCATTCTATAGAAGAAAAATCAACAAACTGGTACAATAAAGCTACGATAGATGGCACTAGTAAATATAGACGATAGGTTAAGAGCCGAGATCAGTCACCCTGGTTATATGTATAGGAAAGATCGTGTATTGGCGCCTTCTTTTCTTTGATATTACCCGCAACGTCGCCATTTTCTCAAACAAACTCATATTACTTCCTACTGTAAATGACTAATCTAATTATACATACGAATACAATTAACAATTACATTATACATAAATGTTAAATTGTATTTGGTATATAAAAATCGAATGAATCATATGTATCAAATATTCCTAACCTTAAATAGTTTGTTTGTTCTTTGATATTTCAATGAAACATATCAAGTAATATGAGTTGTTGATAATAAATATATTGAAATAGATGAGAATGTTTAAACGTTACTAACATTAACGATAATTTCAAGCATTTTTCTACGAAAGCATTGATGACGTAACAAATATAACTTACTCGTGCCATTGTATACAATCTATTAAAAGTAAGGATTAATGTGGCATCAACTTTATAACAACTATAGAACATTGAATTACGTACAAAATAGAATGATCAAACGAATTAGCAGGAAGATGGTTAGGTCGTCGTCTTGTAGCCGTGCAATGAAAATTCCGTTGATGAAGAAGGTTCAAAATTGTGTGTAGTACGGAACGTCGAGTCTTTACGTTAATCGAATTTATATAAAGGCATCCGAAAAGAAGGCAGAAAGGAATCTGACAAGGCGCGCAACGATGGAGTGGCGATGCAAGTGCCGACCGCGTGCCCTTTTTCTGTTTCCTCCTTTTTTTTCAGGCTTGGCGGTCGAGGTAAACATAAGCGCTGAGTGCATCCAGTGGCGCCCCCTAACCGATAAAACGCCATACAAAATCGCTCTTTCACGCGCGACGAGTTGTTCTCTATGTCTCTTTTTATCTCTCTCTGTCTCTCTCTCTCTCTCTCTCTTTCTCTAATTCTACTTTTATTTTTTTTCACACGCATGTAAGAATGACGACATGTGACACACAGGACTAAACGGTCAGATGATCATCAATGATTTTAAATGAAAAGAGTTTCCTTGTTTCCCTTTCTTTTATTTTCTTTCGTTTTTTCGGGTGGTTCCCTAACCTCGAAAAATGATGACTTGCGCGCGCGAATTTGTTTCTTGTCCTACGTAGAACTCTGTCATGCCACGCTACATCATCCACTTTACGATACGCCACGCGCACACCATGCACGCTTCGAATATCATCGGCATGTCTCCGGTGGTGGGGCTATATTCTATCCGTGTGCCAAACTCGGACGACCCCTTGCGCTTGATTTATCATTACGATCAATCGCCCTTACAATTATTATTTCGATTTACTCACCCTTGTCTGAGTCTTCGTGATCTTCTTTTTGCATGTAGGATATATCTGAAACCCACAAAACGGCACAAGTTAAAAGAAAACCCCTCGTGTTTTTGAGCAGCCTCGTCGAATCCACAGTCACTCACTCACCCGCCATGTTGTAACAAACTGCAACGCACTCTAACGGCATTTCATGCAATTAACGACGATACCTCGATAATCGACGAACTTCGATAACTTGCGAGATCGTCTATCTTCTAAAACAACTCTTACGATAAATGATAACGTAAGAGTAATATATATATATATATGAATAATAATATAAATATTTATGTAACATGCAAAAACTTTTTTTTTAAATAAAAAAATTCAGAAAAAATGATTGTTATAGAATACTAAATGGAATTTATAAAAAAAATGTTTTTTTCCAAAACAGGTATATAATAAAACATTAGACTTTATATTCCTGCCAAGAATATAATATATATCTTTATCTCTTTATATCTTCTTATCCTCCACTCTCTCATTCTCTTTAACTTTCTCTCTTTCTTTACTTGTATGTGTATGTATGTGTGTGCTATGTATAGTTATATATAGTAATTGTAAGATAATCAGTATTTTACAATCTTCTATACAAGGATTCATGTTACATCATAAAATTTGTTATTTATCGTTTCTCTATTTAAGTGAAACACGAAACAATATATAATTATTGCAAAATGTTTTCTTTTTTTTTTTTTTTTTTGATGCAAGAGAAAATTGTACATCGAACCTATATCTATCACATGGATTTAGTGATCCAGTCACTTATCCACTATAAGTGTTTGGAATTATAGTTTTATAAGAGAATCGCTAGCAACTCGTGTATGTAATAATAGTTATAAATATTTCAATGAATTAGTTACATGATAATTTAAAAAGTTAACATGATTTTTTTTTAGATTAAAATATATATATATATATATAGATATATATGTTTTACATTTTGTAGACGCATATTTTAGACAAAAATTTTGTGAACCAGTCACAACTTTAATATTTTATATTTCTTCTCTCATATAATCGTATTTAATAATAAAACTAAGAATAATAATAATAATAATAATATTAAAAAAAAAAAAATTGCTAGCAATTCGTTTCTAAATTACATCTAACATCTCTTTAAATGCTTTAGTGTAGAAAAAAATATGTATTTATCTATGTGTTATTCATTTACAATTAGGCATTTAATTAAAAATATTTAAAAAATATTTAATTAACAATATTTGTGTGTGTGTGTGTGTGTGTAGGTAAAACCTACCTAAAATATCAAGCAGAATAATATAATTAGCATGTGTTACTTTTCCTAAGCCACCTAAAATTCAATTAAAAAGTTAATAATATATAATTTTTCATTTGTAAAAAAAAAAAGAACAAACACAAAAAAAAAAACAAATATGAAGATCAAGAATAATAATATACAATTTAAATCTATTATATCGAATGAATGTCATTTTATCAATGATAAATTGGATCAATGTAAAGAAGAAAGAAAATAAACAATAAATAAATAATAATCGATGGTGCAGAAATTGTAACATTTACTATTGATAGTGATATTCTGCATTTTGACTTGTATTATAGCTTAATTAAAATGTAGCATTATCATTAAATCGTATTAAAAGTCACAGTTACAGGAGAAGGCCTCATAATTATGATAAAGTTTTTGTTTGTTTTTTTCTCTTTTTATAGAAGGGGGGAATATCTCATGGTTAAAAACCATAATTCTCTTCTATCAAAATACTATGCTACATATAGAGAATTGCATATAATATCACGACTGTATATTCCATGTTGTGTTTTAGATTTCATTAAATTCAATTGTTCAGACCATTATTTTCATTACCCCACATCGCATTTGATTTATATATTTATCTATTCCATCATGGCAACGTTTCTCTACTTCACATAATCTGTTTCGTACGTACGCATATGTGTACATTGTGTACGTTGATTTATTTGAAATGTTGAATAAAACCAATGTTCGTAATAGGAACAAAAGATGATATTGTACGTTAATAGAAGTTGATAAGCTTCTATTTTCATGAATATTTCTTGATAACATCTCAGTGTGAAGTAATAATATAACAAATGTAATATAAATATTTTGTTAACAAGTATGGCTTTGCTGGGTAAGTGTCATATACCATCAAAAACCATTTCATCAATTGTAGCTCTACACATAGGACATTCAACCAATTGTTTTGAACATATTTGACAAAAACCTCTGTAATATAAAGTCATCATTTATGAAAATACATTAAGTATGTAGAATAAATTCAATGAATTTAAATTAAACTTACCTATGATTACATGGTAGTAACCTTATTGAAGCTTTCTGATCGAAACATAAAGTACATGAATCTTCCATAACGCTAAGTCTTCTCAAACGATCTACATATATATGTCTGGGCAGCACAACCTTGTCTTCTGGATTTAACGTAGCATGATCATTAAATTTTTGATATTCCCTATCAGTGGGAGGATACATAAAAGGTACATTTCCAAAATTAAAAAGACATTGTTGGAATGACATAAAACTAGCTGCTGCAAAAAATCCAGACTTCACAGTCTTGAAAACTTGATTACATGGTTTCAATGGTACTCCATTTATAGAAAATATTATTTCTTGTTTGTTTAAATCCAATAAACAGCCTAAAATATCTCCAGCCTTCCAGCAAGGTCTATCATGATATTTCTCACTTTTAGCATTATACCAAATCAGTCTTCGACAGCCATCACAAGCTAATGAAAATTGATCGTCTCCTATACCATAACCTTCCTATAATAAAAATTCATTATTAATTCTAATAATTGTATTATATATTTATATTTATAAAAGAAAATATATCAAATTCCTACATGATTTAAGAAAGTACTATCTTTTGTTGCCCAACCAATTTGCATCACTCCTGTAGTAATTATAAGTGTTTCATAATACCAAATTCCCGAATCTACTTGATACGTACATCTTACACTTTCAAATGAATATGCATCACAGCGGGCCTAAAATATAAAATAAAAAAAAATAAAATAGTTAATATTATCTATAATAATAATAATTATTATTATTATTTATATTAGGTCAAGTCATAAATAACTTCCGATACAGCTATGTAGAATCTATTTTTCGTATTTACCTATTATAAGTTACCGAAACAAACGGATTTTCAATATCACTACATAGATGAGGATTCAGTTAGTCTTCTGTTAACTTTTTTATACAGTCAATGTTACATTTAATCGTTTTTCTTAACCACTGTAATAGAATAGTAAAAAGTGCATATTCGACATGTAATGCTTTAAGAATTGAAACAAGGCAATAGTACTAAAGTGGCAAATGAAAAAATATACAGCGTATACAGTGCAGGACTGATAACTGATAGGGCAGTCAGAAATTGGTTTGTAAAATTCCGTTCTGGAGATACGATCTTAAAAGATGAACGTATTTCCGACTTTGATGAACCTTTTAAAGGTAATATTGGAACAAAATCCAATAAATACGTTCAACAATTGCAAAGAGTGCAAAAAAAAGCTCCATGAAAGGTGTCTTGCACTTATCAGTCGCAGAAACGCCATTCTTTGTCTCATAAAAAACGGAAGTTATTTATAATTCGACCTAATAATTGATTGATAATTACCTCCAAACCATTTGGTGATATTTTCAGGTACTCACTTACATCTCTTGTATTTAACATAACATTAATGCCAGTCATATCAATGGTATCATAAGAATACTTTCTACCTTCCATTAAAACTATAAAATGACATATAAATATGTTAATTGTTATTTATAGAAAATAATTATATATTAAAATATTATTATAATTTTTACATAAATTATCCAGACACCACTGTGCACAAAAACCAACTTGACGTTTTACATAGTGACACTCCGTAGCCCATTTTTCCAATTCTAATAGTGGATTTTGTTTTTCTGCTGTAAGGCGTTTCTTAATCGTTACTTTATTTTCACCTACAAATAAATATAACATATATATATATATATATAATAAATGTAAAATTAATTGAAATAATAAATCATTATAAAACAATGCTTACTTGTTTGGGCAAATTTTTCTAAAGCAATTAAAGAATATAATACCACATAAGGTTCAATATCGTTTCTCTAAAATCATTAAGTTTTCTAAATTAATATTATAATAATATATTAAAATGTGAAATATAAGAAATAAAATAAAAGTAACATACAAGATTTGAAATAAGATAATCTAACGTAGCATCAGATAATATTGCTATACTACTAGGACCAGCTAATTTTTCTGCAATGCAGCCTAAAACAACACAGATATTTCTCTGTTGTGTTGCACTGGTTTGTATTTTTCCAAATCTTTGAGACAATTGAAACATATGTGATAAACGTAAAACAGAATCCTATAAACAAAGAAAATATATTAAGTTTAATATTCGAATAATTATATATATGGTAGTTATAAAATAATTATACAAACTTTTGAAGGCAAAGGTGCATCATCTAATAATAGAGTAATAACAGAAGGCCCTAATGGATTGTGCATTGGAATAACATTTATCATAGAACTGACAACTTGTATCCAACCATCTTCTTTATCCGCAATTGTATGTAATTTTGACATAGCAGGTGGAGGTTCTTGTTCACTGAAATAAAATGGACTTTTATAATGAATGTGTTCTAATATTAAAGAATATAATATAATAAATGAATGAATAACTTACTTATCAACTAGAGAGCCAATAACACCAAGAGTTTCAAGAACAAGCATATCAATGGCGGTTGACGTTGGAAACTTGAAAGTTGTTGATGTTGAATCATCAGGTACTCTCATGCTTACATTTGCTTGTGGTAATATAGTATTTTCAGATTCTGTACGATTCTGATTTTCATTATACGTTTCAAGATCTTCTGGAGTGTCTTTACACAAGCAATTGCCCATTCCCACTAATTTTATAAGAATTTTCTATGTTCTATATAGCTATGTAAAATGCATACGCTATATAAACACAAACAAACAATAACATGTATATTTTTACATTCAATATCCATATAGAGCTAAAATTAAAAATAAAAAACAATATTATGCATGATCAAAGAAATAATATATATATAAATTATGAGAATAAGGAAAGTAATTTGAGATATTAAAATATAAGTGCATGTGAAGAAAATAATTACCAATAAAATGCTAAAAGGAAAAGTCATGTCCTCCTATCATTATTAAACTAGATTTCAAACAAATACGTTCTTAATACACTGCTCTGTATTGCATTGATTATATATATATATATATGTTTATATATATATATATATCCAAATATAATTATATAGTTTAAAATTTGTAATTAAAATTGCAATCAGTCTTAATTTATTATCAACTTATTTCAATAATTATTCTAAAAAAAAAGATAAATTTATTAAATAAATTATATGAAATTGTATATATTGTATATATATGTATACATAGAAATGGTTAAACATTTTTTTTTTTTTTTAAAGAAAAATAAATTTGAATACTTGCTTTAACTCATTGTTTGGTTGTATTGTTTTTAACCACAGTCATGTTTAATAATATTTACCAACTTTCACGAATTGACCATGTTAAGTTTTTATCTTTAATTATCTCCATTGATATAAAGAAGAAAATCTGTAGATTCGTTCTTTGAAGAGGTTATGTTCTTGATGGTCTCACAACAGAAATATATACAAGCATAGAAGGACTCAAGTAGTCCCAATGTCAATCCTATGATCGGTCGTTAAGTAACTTTATCAGATAACAAATGTTACTTTTAGAATATTTTAAATAAATTTTTTTTAAATTAATGCATAAATTATAACAAACGATATTAATATAGATATATATATTTTTTTTTCAATTAGTATTTTTTTTTTACTTTGTTTTTGCAAAGAAATCTTTTTTTTTTAAATATTATAACTTACAAATATATATTGGAGTTATAAAAGAAGACTTCGAACTAAGCTATATAATTATAAAATCAATTAATCAGTACATCTATTGTATATTTTCATATCAATTATCAGAGGAAGTTATAAAATTATATTTATCCATGAACAAGTGTTTTCATTAAGAAAAATCTTTCTCCCCTCCACTTTTAACCACTATCTGTCATACTCTCACTCTATCTCTTTCTATTTCTTTGTTTTTCTATTCCTCTCTCTTTTTTCTACCCTTTTTCATTATATTACAGAGATAAGTGTAAAAATGAAGATTATCATTCTGGTATAGGTGGGATTAATGAAAGATAAATGAATTATAAATTAATATTTTCTTTGTAGAGATTCCCTGTGAATTATTATGCGAATAATTCGGTAAAATAAAGTAATAGTTATTACCGCTAGATAGCGATACATGTTTTACTAGTTGGTGATATGAAGTAACAGCTAGTACCGCTAGATGGCTACACATATGTTACAGTCGGTAATAAAGTACAGATTTCATAATATAATTATTGTCTAGATTTTTTTTTGTCATTGCAATTGCATTCTATTGGCATAATAATTCACAAGAAATTTCTATAAAGAAGACATGTGAGTTTATACAAATAATAATAATAATAATAATAATATATTCTTTGACAGTATTGTACTGTCATCACGTAAAGTACCTACTATTTTTCACTCTGGTGGTCACGGTGATAATTATGATGACATTTGACATGTAATGTTGACTTCTGATATTCTTTGGTATTACAATACATTGAAAAATGTTAGAAATAATTCCCAAGAGAAATCATAGATGACAGTAATATCGTGACAACGCCAGATTAGGGTGGGGCATCATGTGTGTTTTGTATTTTCTTATGTTATTCATATAATTACTATTAAATGAGTCAATTTTAAAGTAATACCGTTATACATAGTTTTTATTTTGTATTATTATTATTATTATTATTTGTGTATGTATCAATTGTATTAATAAAATAATGTATAACCTACGGATTACACATTTATGTTTATTAATATGTTTCATTTATCAAGGTAAATTTGTTTCTTTAATTAATATCATTAAACTGTTAATATTACTAACCATAAAAATAACTGAATTTTTTTTTTAATTTTATAGTATATGGATCTTGTCAAATACCATTGATAATCCGAGGTTCTTGGTTTTCTTGGGAAAATGGCATGAATACTTTGACAGAGATTAATGCAGAAACAATGTCAAATCGTGGATCTTGTATAGAAATGAAAGAAGAACTTCACGTTAATTATACATTTGTGTTTCAAAAAAATAATTGTTATCATTGTGTAAAACTCATCGTTAGAACTGTTAACATATTAGAAAAATTAGAAGGTAAGTGTATTGTCAATATTTGATATCGTTGTTATATTAATTTTATATTTTAGCAAGCTGTGTTAATCTACCACCAAATGTTGAACCTACGATAGAACATGTCTGTAAAGGATTACGTCCAGATCAACAATTAATAACATTATTTTCTGAAAATTATGTACCTGTTAATTGTAGATCATCCCTCGAAGGTGTTTGGCAATTTGCTTATCAGGCAAGTCTTTGGTTACCTTTGATAATGTTTTACCAATGCTTGAATACTTGTTTCATTTCAAAATATAAATATTCTGTAAATATTAACTAATGTTTTTGTATCTTTGTAGAATCGATTCAGATTTACAGGAGAATGTAATCATCCAGATGCACAGATACGTTCTTGTCAAACTGCAGGCACACAGTTTCTTATAACTAATCAAAAGTTTAATATAACTTACAAACAATGTCCAGGCATGAAAGAAACCTTTGATGGAGGTTTGTTCATACCTAATATTTTTGTTTATAACATTTCTCTATAAAGTATACATTGATTACATGATTAACACTTATCGTTTCATTTTAGTGGTAGAATACAGTTGTTTGGGTGATTGGTTTGTCGACAAGAATCACTTTTTTGCTGTTGCGAATACTAAAGAATCCAGAAAGGATGAAAAGTACAGATGTTTCTTAAAAAATCGTGATGACGATTTATACATTGGTGTATCTATTACAGCAGAATGTAATACTTTGAAAACAGTTGAAAAGAGTCCTGAAAGATTAAGAGTTACACCTGTTAAAGCTGAAGTAGTTGAACCTGGTTGTCGTTTACCTCAAGATATGCATGGCAATTGGATAAATACAGCTAACATTGATGCGGATGTTTTTATTAATGAAACGCATATCATTGAAACGTGGTATCCAGATGAGGGCCGTTATAGGCGTACAATTTATGTCTGTCGTGAAATGAGAGATAGTAGGATTATGATGGCACGGTTAACAGTTGATGGCTGGTATGTTTTATATATATATATATATATATATAAAGTAATCCTTTTATTGTATCAATTATTGTAATCAATTATTCTTTATTACAGTCAAAAGGATTATGTTTGTTTTGATGTTGTTCCACGGCATCACAATATTATCAGATATCGTCGTGGTGTTGCAGTAATTAAAGATGATTTTCATACAGTATGTTCTTGGGTTCAATTTCAAAATACAAACAATTGGAAATATGATTTATTCCTAGGTAAGTAATATAAAATCAAATCAAATCAAATGTATTTTTATATTAATTTAATTATTTCATTTTAAGCGGAAAATCCTGTACCTGTACGTTGTCCAGTAGCTGGAAAATACATGTTTAAACAGAAAGGAGATGTTCTATTCGAAACACGTATTTTGGGTGGTGTTACTTTATCACCACGTCCAAATATTTATTGTAAACAAAATATTTCAGATTTTTCTGTTTGCGATACAGATCAAAAAGAAGTAGCCATAGACGAAAACTATTGTTTGTCTGTAGATTATTTAGGAAAACCTGTTGATATTTACAGTGAGTAAAGATTATAATTTAATGTTTATTATTTGATCATATCTTTTTCAATCAAATTTCTCTTTTTATATAGGTGAACCCGATTATAAAATGAAATGCATTGGTTATTGGAAAGAAAATTTAAAATCTTATCTTATTACATACGACGAATTGGATCCTTTCAGTAAATACCGTTGTTGGGTATATCAAAGAGCAGATTTAAATAGAGTATTAATGTCTCAAGCAATTGGACCATTTTGTGATCTTAAACAAGATGTTACGAGTAGCAATTATACAGAAGGTGCAGCAGTTGCGCTCGAGTTGCAAGTACGTCAATATAATTTGTTTGTTTTTTTGCTTTTTTAACCATGACACCAATGTAAATCACTTTTATTACAGGAATATGAACGTGAACGCGATCAATGTCCAATGCATTTCGATGATGGTAGTAATCCATGGATGAAAACTGAAAACTTTATTACAGTTTTTCGTTATAATAATGGTAACGTGATTGTAACATCACCCATGTTGCTTACTGGACTTTTAATCTTTCTATTTCGATTTAATTTTATACATATACGATGTGTCGTATAGCATATATATCTAACAAAAGAAAAGACATATCTATTTTTATTTAAGATTCTATTTTGGTAAAACAATACCAATGATTTAGACTATGATCTTTTGATAATCATTTCTATTCGATATTATATAGGAAATTAAAGATAGTGGTATTAGATTTTTACTAAATAATAGATATACCGTCCATGAGTAAAAATATTCCGTCCAAGAGTTACACATTTATGTACATATAACATTTTATTGTATAACAATAATAATATTGTTATTCTATTTTTTTTTTAAAGCTAAAGTATTTCACAAAGTTTCCTTTTGAAACTTTATGTCATACAACAAGATGTTATCAATTTTATCAATCTATAAAGTATAGATAGTATAGATCTATTATAAATATGAAATTTTATCATTTTTTTTATTAAAAAATATAAAGAATTATTAATGAGCTTATACCATGTCTCTGTTATACTTTAAACTATCATACAAGATTGTTATTTATAATCTAAATAAATAAAAATATGTTTGTAATCTTAAACAAATAATATCCTTATTTGGTCCAACTGACTTTCGGTATATCAAAGTGTTCTGTCAAACTATCCAAATGCCTATTGAATTCTTCAACACGTTGCTTGTGAGTCATAGAAGCTTTCTGTTTTATTCTCTCGTTTTGCTAAAATCAATATCAAGAATTATATGTAATATGTATATATGTACGTAAAGTATATTATTACTATTTTTATATACATGGTATCCTATAACAAATGATGCAAGTGAACAGGAAATGATTCTATTTAAAAATGTATAGAATACAATTTAATCATATAATGTTTTGTTATTAAGAACAATAAGTTTGAAATTGTAATGAATGCGAGTGTATTTGAGTTTGTAAACTAAAACTACATGAAATAAGCTTTTACCATTGGTTAAAGGATACTCTGCCTTTTATTGTAGTGAAAGTAAAATATTACCATTTTTTCTTGCATCTTTTGAAAAGCTATTTCTGCCTTAGTACGTTTTATTTCAACATTCTGTGGTTTCTTCTCCTCCTCCTCTTGAATTTTATTGGCTATCTCTGCTAACTTTTTATTTTGTTTATCCTTTTTCTTTTTCCTAACAAATAAACAAATTAAATTAAATATTAGCAAACAGTATTTGACAGGATTTCATATGCAGGTGTTGGAAACAATTAAATATCAGTTATTGTAATCAAAATGTCACTGGATAATGAGAAACATAATAACCATAACCAAAAATGAAAACTGTCAAAACTATTCAGAATCATTTAATTATTTATAATTAATTTCAAACCAAAACTGATATAATAACTGTTTTCAAATTCTATTTACAAATAAAAAAACATTTAATAATATGTAGTTAAATAAACTTAACCTCACATTGCAAACTAATGTATGCTTGACACTTACTTTTTGCTCACGGCCTGATCGATTTTTAATTTGAGAGGTCCTTTTGCAGCATACGCATAAGGATCATCTTCCTTTGTTGTAGACATGATTTAATATTAATTAATTAACACTTAATTAACAATTAATTGCATATATTTTGACAAATAAAAGCGAAACTGCAACACCATCTACACTAGACTAGTTTCTTGCGTATGCGCATGCGCAATGTAACTAGTTTCCTACGTATGCGCATGCGCGATGAATCTAGCAGTATGTAGTTGCATTTGTATAGTTATATATATATCTATATACACCACTTTTGACACTAATCCTTTTTTAATCATTTTTAACTTAATTAAAAAACTTTTTTCAAATTCTTTTACCTAATCTAAATACAGTTATGTAGAATAACCCATAATATAGATAAATAGATAACTATTGAATTATAAAATACTATAACTTATAACCTTGTAATATAATATTTGTAATAAGCGTTTTTACGATGAAGAAAATGAAATAAATGCAAATGAAGTAAACATATGTAATTACAAGTACAAGATGATTAAAATATAATAAAATAATGTATGACATCCAGTGAGATCAGGATTCGGTACATAGGCGAGCAGGCAGGCAGGCATCCATTTAAAAAATGGATTATAGGGTTTTATTTATATGTATATAGGCATATACGTATATACATATACATATATACATAACACACAATCATATTTTATAGAGCATAATAAATTGATATATCGTATAGTCCATTATTCTTCATTAATTATACAAGTTTACTTAGCATCGTATCATGTACATTTAGCAATCGTTTGAAATCTCTACATTGTGTTGTTTTAATCGTTATCAAGTAATTTTAAGAGATTGCATATTATATAATAGTAATTAATATTAATACCTTTGAGCCTGTATTTGTATTAGCTACCAGTGATCTATTATAATTATTAAATACTATTATGCTCCAATATTACAAGTTCAAATAATAGCACTGATGTTTGAATCGAGTATCTAAAAACGAAAATATAAAAAATTGTTTCTTAAACGCTAACTAGCTCCAAGATAATTAGAGCTTTTTCGTGTTATAATCCACAAGAACATACTTGGCATAAGCATTGTTTTTTGTTTCTTATATTTTTTTTTGTTTTTCATATTTTTTTTTTTTTTACTATTTTTCTCTTTTTTTTTGTTTTGTTTGTTATGTGTGTTCTGTCATTCTTCCTCTCCTTTAATTAAACTGCAAAACTCTTCATATTAAAACTTAAAATTGCTAAAGCTTAGGTTGATAAATTTTCTACGATTATGTGACTCGATTCTGAATCCTGAACAAAATCCATTTAACACTCCTCGTGCGATTGATCCCAATACTTTTACCGATATCTTGGGTATTCCAACACGAATGCATAGCATCTTTTTATACGTATTAGCGTATTCCACTTCGGGAATGTGCTATGAGCCATTGTAACGTAATATCAATATTGTCCTTTTCTTTGCAAGAAATGCTATAGCAACAAATCTCACGATCTTGAATTGCTGACAAATTCCTTAAATAAAAAGTAAATACGTAGAATTAATTTTCTATAGATAACAACATTGAATTAATTCATAATTATTTATATCTAATGAAATTTCTTACATTCTTTCTATAAGTCCATTTTCATCCAATGCGTGAGGAAGGTCCCTTTTATTTCCAAGTACTAGAACTGGTATACCGGATAGTTGAGGTTTGTCCAGTAAATTATGTAATTCGTTACGACTGGCTTCAATTTTTTCTGAATCAGCTGCATCAACCATGTATACTATAGCATTGACACCTCTACAATATCTTTCCCACATGGATCTAAACCTTGGTTGACCACCAATGTCCCAAACTTTGATGGTAACATTACCTTTAGTTATTTTACGCATATTAAAACCAACCGTTGGTATCATATCTTCGCTAAATTGTCCTGACTGTAAAAACAACAAAAACAAAATAAATATTATGATAGTAAAATAGATAAATAACAATACATATATTTTTTTTTTTTTTCAATAGAATCATCATTTCTTCTAATTTTCAAAATACAGAAAATCTAACCTAACTATGTTGCGATTATTTAAATAAAAATATCGTGTTGTTTAAAAAAAGGATAAATAGGTTTTCATTGCAGTTTTTGTGGAAGTTTGTTAATCGGCATTTTGACACGATGCTCGAGACGAAAGGATAAAGTCACGGAGGGAGTTTTAATAGTATCAAATGAACAAGGGGTTGTCCCTTACCGCTATAACATTAACGAATGTAGTTTTTCCGCTATATTGAAGTCCAACGAGGGTAAGTTCCATTTCCTCCTTCCAAAAGAGTGACTTGAACCAATCTAAGATCCTATTGATTAACGCCAACATCCTGAATAATAACGTGGGACGTTGATCCCGGCTGTTGTATTGTCAGTAAAAAGTAAAGAATTTCTTTTTCCTTTTTTTCCCCCCTTTTACCGTAGATGTTTCACCCGAAACACGACGAGAGGAATGAATATAATCAACACAACAACGACAACGATATAACCACGACCGATGATAATACTAATAACGTATAAACGATATCAATTATAACGAATGATTATAGATATGACGTTAATGTCAAAATTAAACGACAACTAGGAAGATGACGGTGAAAATTATGACAACACTTGCAATCTTTGACATATAGTCATCCGCGGTGGTGGACAAGAGTTAATAGTCGACGTCAGTACAAGCACCAAGTGAGTACAACGCTAGTCAATGATATTATTTACAATTGTCGCCGCTACTTGATTTGTGCGCCACTGTTCTCTCTATCTCTTTCTCTCTCTGTCTGTTCATAATTTCTCCAATACGAATTTTCAGATTAAAAATGAAATAACTTATCTTTTATTTAAATCAACAATTTTGTCTCTTAATATTATTTATGATTATTATTATTATCAAATGAAATGTTAGATATTATTTCACATGAATTATTTTTAAGATAATTGACAAAATATTGTTAGATGTTATTATGAATATAAACACTCGTTTCCGTGGGCGGGAAAGAAAGGAAAAGTGACGACAGATGCGCATTCATCGAATGACTCACACGTGTTGCTATGCTTTCAGATATTTAAATGAATTTAGAACATATCGATAATTCCTTTCGAATGACTAATTAATTCAATCTCTTAATTTTTATCCATCTTTAATTTTGTACACTTTTTCAAATATATAATATATGATACTTTGTTTCGTACAAATCGATACTAAACTTCAAACGTCAAATTTATTAGATTTACTTAAAAGTTGGATTTTTTTCTATTTTTTTTTTATTATAGTAATTCTTTTTACTGTATCGATATCAATCGAATATATCAAACGAATAATCAATACTTCAGAAAAATAATAGCTAAAATATGTCACGAATATTATTTATTCTCTAAATATTTCATTCTATATATATATATATATATATTTTATTTTTTTCAATACTTGAAATGATTATTTTGCTATTGAATAATTGAATAATCGAGATTAGTATAACATACATTATGTTTTCGATTGAATGATTTATAAGGGAGATTAAAGAAAATAAAAAAAAAAAAAACCAAAAGAAGGCGTACGTTTACCTTTTCGCAGCGCCATCTGCATAATGAGGTTCGAAGTACGATTTGAATTAATGCGGTCGATACAACACCCTCCGCCCCCACTACTCATCGTACTCATTAAACAACAAAAATAATTATATATATTTTTGAAAAAAAAAAAAATAAAAAAAAAAGATTTTTATCAGCTTGTTTTACAAAAGAATATTTATATATCCAGTAAATACATAGCATTTTTATTATTAACAAAAATACATCACGTGTCGCGAATGGACCCAATCGCAAAATCCATAAACTTTGACTATAAAATATACCCCCTATATAAGAATATAATATTGTACAATTCTCTCCTAATGTTATTTAACCCACCCCCATTCGACCGGATGATTTAAATACAAACTAGGCAGTATACACGGTGTGTGTATGTGTATGTATGTATGTGTGTATGTACGTATGTAATATACATATATATATATATTATAATAAAATCGGTTCTCGCGAATACGGAGGAATACTTGCAACAACCTAACTTCAAGTTCCCTGCCGTGTTTAATAAAAAAAAAAAAAAAAAACAAAAATACAAAGAAGAATAATTAATCATAGATGCTTCGTCTTTATTATTTCTTTTCTCTCCTTTTTTCTCTCTCTCTCTCTCTTTCTTTATTTATAATTAAAAAATAAAAATTTGTTGAGATCTCTTACAATAAGAGATCTCGTAACAAAAAAAAAAAAGGGTGAGATGATCAAATTCCTTTGTTTTGTTTCTTTTTTTTTTTTTTTTTGAGACGAAGAGAAAAAAAGAAAGTAATATATATATATATATATGATATATAATATAAAGCTATCATTTTAAAAAAAGAGATATTATTTTAGAGGACGCATTTATCGAAGGGAATCGTTTATGTACAATAGCCGCAAATATATATATGTATATATATAAAACAATATTTCTTTGATCTCGACAAATGTTAAACAACCACCTGTATACACAAATGTATGTACTCGCGCTTCCGCGCATACATTAATTATAATTATACAATTATTGTGTGTGCATTTATTGACCATTTTTTTTTTTTTCTAGAGATTCTTTTATTCTCGAGGAAGAAGAAGAAAAAAAAAAAGGAAAAAAAAATAAAACAAACAAACTGTATTAATCATTTTATCCCGCTTCCCTCCCCCGACGGCTACCACCTTTCCTTTTATACACATAATTGTTCTCCTATTAGTGGTGTAATTGGTATATTACCGTATATAATATATCTCGATCTCATTCTAGATAATACAAAACTAATCTATCTATATACACACGGCTGGTACGATGAGACATCCAAAACAAGCGAAATTGGTGGTCGCAATAAACAAAAATATTAGGCGAATTAAAATGTAAAAAAAAGTCCAATGAATCCAATGAATCTATAAAATTAACACTTTCACGACCGCTAGCTTATTAATAGGCTTTTTTTGTTATCGACGTTTACCTAACAAAAATTGATTAACCCTTTCGCTAACGAACGGTGACTATAGTCATCCGTGATGTTTCATGAACAAAGTATATGTGTAATCGTTATGGTTACCCATTGCAAATGATATTGAACTTTGAGTATAATTTTTAAACTGTTTATACGAAATTACATTATTCAAAGTTATGTTTTTTAATTGTATTGTGTAATAATTTTTAACTTGTTCATTTCTATAAGCGATTACAGATATTCAATGGTAGTAGAGCACCGAAAAATCGGTTCGTAGCGAAAGGATTAATCAGATTTTAGTTATCGGTTGACATTTGGATAAAGAATCACTATCATTATATAAACAATAATTTGTTATTAGAATCTTATTTAACATCTTATTAAAATTTATTAATAGAATCTGCGGTTGAACTTTGAACGGTCTAACGTGCATATGCTGTTGAAATTCTAACGATCGGTAAAGTGTTAATAGGGTTTACAATTTGTCCTTGAAATCTATCTCATTTATATATTATATAATATAATTTGTTTGACATAGAAGACAAAATAAAAATCAAAGAAATGTAATTATCTAGACGACCACAGTTTCATTCGCTTTGCGAGATGTCACGAACATTCACACACACTTAGGCAAACAGGCAAACAGGCAGGTAGGCAGGCAGGTAGGCAGGTAAGGTAGCAGGCAGGCAGGCAGGCAGGCACGCATTCTTTTAACCACACTGCTACTATTTACGATTTACAATATTTTCTTTTTTTTTCCTCATCATCATCATCATCATCATCATCATCATCATCATCATCATCATCATCATCATCATCATCATCATCATCATCATCA